TCTTTTATCGTAAGCTATGACTATTTTTCCTAGCAATGGTTAGAGAGAAGAATTCTTTGTTATATTTGATGCTACCATTGTTGTTGTTGTTGTTGCTATTGGTTTTGTAACAAACACACTACAGTTAAGCTATGCCAAAACTAAAATTTGCAAGCCATGACCAAGCGAGCATATTGAATTACTTTCTTTAATGATTACATTGCTTTTCAATTATATAATCATACAATATACACAAGGCTTACACCGGCTCACGCCCATATCAAATGTAATTCGAAATTTTTCGGCTATGTACATATGCCTGCATACAGTGGAGAACATAAATGCGTACAATGATGACCAATACATTTGTAATTATAATATCTTTGCAACGACTATAATGTTTCCCAAGCCGATAGGAAATTTTCATCATTCATTCGATGATTGAGTTGCGATTGACGAATTCTTCCTATTATAAGTTAAATCGTTACCGGAAGTTTGATTTGCTAAAGAATGCCAAATATTTTATAAACTGCAAAAGGGTTTTGCGTCTTTGTTTTGCATGTGATGACCATGCATCCTGACAATTGTGAAAAACGATTTTGATCGGCATCGAATTTTTTTTTTTTTTTGCTTTCCTTCAATACTACGAAAGTCTTCATATGCAAAATGTTTTAATGATAGCTGGTAGGAGATCGGAAAGATAGATTAAATTGATTAGTTTGATGTTGTGTGTATTCGTTGAAATGTTAGTCATGATGAGTTGATGTTATTCTGCTATTTGTTATTCTATTTGCTATTTCTGAAATTATGTTATGCTAACATCGTTTCATGCTTTATTCTTCAAAATTATTCGTATTATGTGTTTTACTTATGTCAATAATTATGAACGATTTTCAGATGATGTTCATCATTGAATGGATTGGAATGAAGTAAGTAACGTGTTAACTTCAGTTATATGCAGTACTGTAACTTATCGATATGTTTACATATGCTTAAGCCACATGATTAATCTGGTACTTGTGTGGTAAACAAACGTACTTAATGTTTTGCAACCAATATAACTCTAGAATGTTGGTAAACTTTGTGTGCGATATACAAACATTTGCACATTTGTTCGATACACACATCCTTTGAATAAAGTTTACAATAAAAACACCAAGTTATAGGTACGACACTAAATGAGTAAGGCCTTCGTGTTGTTGGTATTGTTGATATAACAGTGCAACCGCATACAGTACACTTGAGCGCTTACTTGCACACATAAGGAACATATGCTATAATGAATACCACACAAATTCATTTAATGTATAGTTTTTCCAGATTTGCCTATCTATAGATATTTTAGAGCTCTTTGGACACTTTACATACACCGCATATCCTATATATTAAGTTTGTCAAATGTTTTGTTAGGCATTCAACGACATTCAAGCCAATCGGTTTTCCTAAATCGGTTTCTAAAACCGATTGCATAATGAGTTAAGTTAAGCCTGCTCTTCTACTTTTTTACCCGATCATTAATTGACCCCGAGTGTCCCGAACATCTCCGCTTCAACTAAAAAAAGGAACAAGAAGAAAAAAAAAAAAGCCATAAATTGGTTTATGAGTAAAGAACTATACATCTTAGTACTTTTTTTGTGTTATATTTTCTGCTGCTCGGCTTTGTTTTTTTCAGCTCAGTATTTCACATGGTATGACTGATTTATATTGAAACTAGTCAGCTTAATTCGTTTGGAAAAGCCGAATAATTTCAACTTGTTGAGTCGAAATATTGCCTAGAAATTTAAATGAATAAGGATCCCCACACACACACTCTGAGGACCCTTTAAAGCATAATGTCTATTGCTTCTAACTGGTCACACATTCACATTTTATTATGAGTATCGTAGCAATAAAAAATTTTGTTTGCCTTGAAATAAACTTTTATCATATTATCAGTTGTCTTTTTTCTCCCCCATACCCCTGTGGGCAAAAGCGAAAGCTAAAGAGGCGACACGTGGCGAGTCAAGCGAAAGGGTTTATATTTTCATTCCATAAACAGTTTATCGTTTATTTCAAATAGTTTTTAATAGTAATTTTTGTTTCTCGTTGTCTTTCGTTCATCTTCTCCTCGTTCTCGTTCTCTTTAATCGCCTTTTTCTTCTTTTTATGCATTTTTGCCTGTGCAATATTATAACCGCAGCGGGATTCTGATTGATTATTTGTTTCCAGTTGTGATTAGTGTTAATATTTGAGCATGTATTGCGATGCGTACTTTAAAGATTTATCCGATTGCGGATTTCTTTTTGCAATCGATTTAAGAATGACTTTTATTTGAAATTTATCTTTTGTTTTCATATATATCAGTAAAAGCTCGATAAAAGTGCTCTTCGCAAGAGTTCTTTTTTATGACAAGCATAGGGAATTGATGTTTTCAATAAACTCGATTATGCGAGCAGAATACGCTTGCATGGTTCGTTGCGGTTTTTTATTGCGTATGAGGTATGAAGAGGATTCGGCTCGAGCTGAACCCTATTTTCAGCTATTCATTGTTCTTCTAATAAAAGATTTATACGTAAAGATTTGTGATAATAGACTTGCATTCATATGCCACACAACCATAAATATATATATATATATATATATGTAAATGCAGGAAAAGCGGGCTTTAATAATTTACAAGGTTTACAAATAAAACAGTTGTTGCTCCCTTCCTTCTATTTTTCGCTTTTTCTCGACTACAAAACACAACTTTACTTAATAACATTGAACGAAACTTGCATAAAGGTATTTCAATGGAAAGCATACTCACCTATATTATGCTTGCAGATAAATGAATGTTTGCTGAATAAGTCCTATTAGGTATAATTTACCACAATTGAAAATTCACAATCACATGCTATCTTTTATTTGATCCTCTGGATTGTAATTTTTTTTTGTTTTTTTCTATTTCGTTTCTTTGTCTTAATGATTCTCCCATATCTAAAAAACGAAAAACAAAAAACAAAAAAACAAAATAATAATAATTGTGCAAATAAGATTTTTTCGAAAAGCAATTATATAACAGATGTGCTTTTATTATATTCTATTCAGGTATTATCTACGTTCATATGCGGATAGTTAGAAACAAAAAAAAAAAAGTAGAAAGAAAAGTCCTTTGCATTCAAATTTTACATATGTATGCCATGTGCCAAAATATTATTTTGCGATAAAGACAAAAAAACAAATTTATTTGATGTGAAAACTTTCTTAAAATAGGGCGTTCTATAAACGAACCGATTCAACCCGTTTTTATTGGGCGTTTATCTCTGAGCCAAGACCTGTTACTATAAAAATTCTCGAAAATTTCGGCTTGGTTCGGTAACTTGATCATAAAAATGCGGGGACAGACGGAAAGATATGCTTATTTCAAAGAAGAAAAAACCAAAGTTTTTAATTTGACGCCCGTAGACGCTACTGAAAACATATTAAGTCGAACCATTGTTACAATCAATCCACATATGGCTCTGTTTTTTTATATATTGCACTACTTTTTAGGTGCAAAAGAAGAAAAAAGCAAAGTATATTTACTCGCCGAAGACCGAATCTTTTATACCCATCACCGTAACCCTTTCTATATCTACTCTCCAAAGGTTTTTGTTTAATACGCATATCCTATTATGGGGAAAAAAATTTATCCATCCAGCGCGGTGACGCCCAGCATCATTGATTAAAGAATTAATACAGTCGCTTACTACTTTCCAATTCCAATAGGTACAAAAATGCTTGGTCGGCATCGAAAGAAGTTTGTTTTTCTCTTAATTTATTTTATTTGTTTGTTTTTGTTTTTATTTTCATTAATTCCGGTCGCGATCTTAATACTTAAAACTAATTTCAACAACATATTATTATTTCATATTTTCAACTTTGATGGTTTATATATTTTTCCTTGGTTTCAAGCAGTGGCTGTGTAAAGCAGCTGAAGTTGAACGTTCAAGAAAACAACAAACAGTTGCGTGGTGTTATAAACGTTACAAAGGCCAAGCAAAAGCCAAGTAAAAAATGAAATTTTCATTTATTCGCGAACAGTCGAGCATATGGTGATATAGGTTTTCAACTAATCAATGATAAATAGTACAACTGTCATTAACTGAGAAGCTCGAAGATTGGGGCAAAATCTTTTAAACGAACCTCACTGGAGCAGAGCAAGGAGTAAAGCTTTAAAAAATCAATAGTATATAAAAGCAACTAAAAACGCTATAGTAGGACACGGTTAGCCATTAAATGCCCCACATCACCCTATAAGAATTCACATACCAACATTCCAAAGTATGACGACAGATGGGAAGTGATCGGAAAGGCGGTCCAATCCGAATCATTTTCAATAGCGTTCGTCCTTGTACCTAAACTTTTCACGCAGGCATAAAAGGCGGACAGACGGACAGACGGACAGACGGGCAGACAAACCCAGATCGCTTAAAAAAGTGATTAAGGATCAATGGCCACAATAAAAGTGTGTCTATCTCAAGTCTTTCTGGGTATTGCGTATATCCGCACAAGCTTAATATACGCTCGCACCATAAGCGATGTGGTGAATAAAAATGTAATCAGTTTAACAATTGATATTACAAAGATCGGGATATCAACGCCACAGAAATACTCAATAACGAAAACTTTCTTATGATTAATGTCAATGATGCGATAATAAGCGAAAGCGAAAGCAACGTAGCTAGAGAAGAATTTTATGATCACATTACATGAGCCAAAAAGGAAGGGAAAATAATTGAACAAATGATACTTTAAGCTTTAAGCTTATGCATATATTTTTACTTCATTTATGATTGCTTTTTACTTGTTTGTGCCGCTTATACACAATCCATGAACTTAATTACATGTATATTATAATGTCTCCTCATGATTGTGTATCAATTCAATCTATATCATGAAGAAAGACAATGAAAGTCAATAAATTCTCTTAGAGAGTAAGCAAATAAGAAGAAAATTAATTTACAGAGTCCTTTGTGTGCTGGTTCTTTATCCTGTGTTTGCGTGTGTGTCTTAGTCTTTTATAGTGCTTCTTCTACAGACAAAGACGACGGCAAAGTGGTCGATGGTAATAATGAAACGTCATCTGGCATCAGATCGTTTTCGTTAAGAGTTTTAGGTTTTCTGGTTTTAGTTTTAGGTTTACGCGTAACACTCCATAAATTGATTGGGTTTGTCGAAGTTTCAACTACATCATCATTTTCGGGTATCTCTAGGCTTCTCGGCAAAACGGGTGAGGCGTCAGTATAGGTAGCTAAAATTACATTCGCGTGACAACATAAAATTATCATTGAAATATTTGTTGGCGAGAATTGTGCTTACATAGATCTTCGCGGTAGCCGTCCCGATCGGCAGTATAATAGATGGTAAGAAATTTGCCATTTTTCAATGGATGCGAATAATAACCTTTACGCGCCAAAGACGTGTCATTGCCTGTACCCTCCCAATACGATTTCTCGTAACGTGCTACGCCATTATTTAATAAGAATCTAAAATTGATATGTATGTGTGTAAATAATAGATATAAGCATAACAATCTATAGTGATGAGTTTACCTATATTCATAGGTACCATCTTTAAAGCGTCGATCGGATTGTTCTAAAACGTAGGGCTCTTTCACATCAATGGGATGATAATTGTATTGACGTCCATCAATATCTTCATTATTAGGATCATTATCGTCATTTTCTAATGACTCGCTAATAGGAGAATTTGTGGCTTGAGTTGTGGCTGCTGTGACGGCGGTTGGTCTTGTCCTTGTTGCTCTAGTGGGATATCGATTAACTACTGTACGTGCTTGCGCTGATGCACTGTGAATACAGCAGATACATAGCAAAATTGTCACCACGAGCAAAACACGTACCATCCTCTTCATAAGAATTTCAAATTTTAATATATATACACATACACAATCGACTCACAAGAAAGGCAAGAAAAAGTTTAGATAACCCAGTAAAGAGAAACTTCAAGTGAAATTAAAAATATTTTTTTTTTTGTTTATTTTTTAACAAATATATCTTGCGATGTTGTGCTTTCGCAGCTTTTGAGGGTAAATTTTACTCGTGAACTGATTTAACTTTAACACACTGTTAGATGCTGATTTGTTTGATGTGCATTGGCAATTGATTACTTGGATTTCTTTTGCTTTGCTTTTATAGCCTGAGGTAAAATAAAAGGGTTCCTTATTTTATATATTATGAATATATATATATATATATATATATACATATATATGCATATACATATATGTATATATATGAGACTGTCTTTACTCTTTACCGAATCACTTCTGATACAGTTGTAATGGGGGCAAACTTATACAATAATTAAAATTAACTTTCATTCATATATTCGTATATGAGTGAAGATCTTCGGTTTTTGTTCTTAATTCATATGCGCCACTTATTAATGAATATAAGCTAATTTTATCATTCCGTTTGCAACGTCCAGGCATACGAATAATCTTTATTCGCACGATTGAAAAAATTCAATGAAATATCTGCGAATTGCACACATGCTATTAATTTAAATTAGATAGCAATTATTTAAACCAGAGATTAGTAGAAAATTTAAAAACATTTTCTTCTCAAATAAATCACAAAATGCAACAACAATATGTAGGCAGATGCTTGCAAAACAGAGTTTTGTAGCTGCAGTGTTTAGGAAACCATTCGATATAAATCGTAGAAAAGACTTTCTTTCATTTATTTAGTCAGCGAGTAGTGTATTCAAAATTTATATATATGTATGTATGTATACATGTCGATATCAGAAATTGGACAATGTGACAATTTAGATTTTGTATTAAGCCATCATCAACGAACATCTGTGTATCTCTTCATCCATTCATCTGTCGATATGATCGCCTGTCGGCTGCTGGTTTTGTAATGTTTGCCACACCTTATATCGCAGGGCCTATGATAGATATCAGTCTAAAATTTTGAACAGAAATGATCTAACGGTTGAGATTTTCTACTATGATTTGATGTGTGTGTGCGTGTGTGTGTGTGTGTGCATATATGTATGGATATGTGTTCGAAATTCGGCTCACGATGAATCTTCTTCCTGTTCGTTGGCATGCTTGACTTGTTTATGGATTATTCTGTTGTCTTTTTAATAACCGCAGGGATTACTAATTATTTACTGTTCTCGGATTAAATGATTGAATTGTGAGAGAATAATTAAACAATACAAACTTTTAACGAATTAACAGCGAAAACAGGACGCATTTTGAATACCTTTTATTAATTGAATTTATTCTTGTTTTCAATATTTAAACCCTATAACACCTACGGTGTAGGGGTGGTTCGTGCGGATATATGCAACACACAGAAAGACTTGAGATAGACTCGCCCTTAATTATACCGATCGATTCAAAATCACTTTCGGATTGAATCTAACCTTGTCTGTTCGCCCATTTATTTGGCCGTATTGTATTTTCACAGACTGCAATTTTTGAGATATTTTGATGAAATTCGACGAACCGATGCGTTTTGACCCAAGAACGAACGTTATTGAAAATGGTTCGGATTGTGCCAGTTTTTCGATCACTTATCACATAATGTCTTATTTTACAAAGTCGCTTTATGAATAACTGTATTAACCGAAGTGGTCTAGGCTATTTATTGATGGACACCTTGATCCACTAGAATGTTTTTCGTTGGCTTCCTTTTTTTTTTTAACACCCTTTAATATGATATATTTGCAGCTAAATGTAGAATGATACATTTAACCTGGATCGGATTTATGACTGTCGATATCGAGTACAGTCGATCGCTATCGATTATTAACAAACTGTAACGAGTAGTACGCTGCCAGCTATCCAAGAAGTATACATTTTACTTAAAATTTTCGATCGTAAAATTGGTGATGACCAACAAGTCCCAATTATGATCGAGTTTACTCGATATCGATAGTCATAAGCTGACCCTGTTGTATAAAGTATTTAAAAAAATTTTTAAGATTGCGACTATCATCATATAGGGTGTCCAACAAGATTTCAGTGTACGACCGTTTGTGCGGTAAAGTGTTGGCAACTCTTCAAAAAAAAAAAAAAAAAAGAAGTAGAAGAGTTTAAAGTTTAGTAAAAATGGAGCATTACGTTAGAGAACAACGCGTGTTCATTACTGAACATTATTACATTTTGTTAATTCCAGATAATTGGCGGCCACAGTTTGCCAATTTCGTACAATATGTGGTCGAAATATTGATTTACAATCTCGTCAATTTCGAGGAGGCACCAATGACACCAACCCAAACATCTGTGCCAATAACCATCCACGCATTGCAGGTGGAAATTCAACGCGTCAGTAAAGCCATGGAAGTGACTTGTCCGATATGCTACTCCGCATATAACTCTACGCCATACACTGTAGCCCAACAAAGTCTACTTACTGTAACGAATATAGAAACAGGGTAGGTGTATTATCATAATTGTCAGAGCAATTGAACCCAGAAATAATGTTATTGATATCGTAGAGGAGTTAGAAAAATATTAGCCAATTAGTGTTCATCTCAAAACCGTTTGAAATATTTTAAGATCCAACGATTTTCGTAACCGCATTCCAAGGGAAAAAACAACTATTCATAAACATAGTTAATACGATAAAATGCCTCGAGTTGTAAAACTCCGGAAAAGTGGTCATATAAATATTTGGGAAACTGTAATTTTTGGTGGTTTGCGTAGGTTGGACGCTAGTAAACACAAAGTAAGAAAGAAACCTCATACAGCGATAACGATCCAAAATTTATTATCAGTTGAAAAGCACGGCAGAGGATCTGTCATGGTTTGTCTGTCATGCGTACTTGAGAATGGCTATGAAAATCGTTGAATATTGAAATATTTCGACCGGTTTCGAGGTGAATACTAATTGGCTAATGTTCTCTTTTGCATTATCGGGAGCAAGATTTTCGGATTCGTTTGCTACAATTCTGATAATGCTCTGTTTTTCGCGCTTTCTAAGTTTGTTTCGTCGACCTGATTGGTGCTTGTTTCCCGGCGTATGTGTGTTATTGTGATATTTTTCTTATAGTTTGATTACGATCAGGACAAATTCCAATTGTTTTTACTATTTCCCCATACAATTTTTTTCGACTTGTTAACTCTATGATCGCATTTGTAACTTCTTGAGACATTGTCTCGCGTTTTTATACATTTTGTGATATTTTAAGGAAAAGGAAATAAGTCCAAAAACTAAGTACCGTTAGCTAAAGATGTTCTTTTTCGAAACTTTTAGTCGTGCTGGGGCCGAAACCCGCATACCCACCACTATGCTTTTCGCATTCCACTCTGCGAATTCTTTTATTTGATGCCCATATCGCTGGTAGCATTAAGAACAGATAATATATATCCATTTGAGGAGTGTATCAAATAGTTTCAAGTATCTTGTCTCTTGTCTTGTTTGATTTCTGACAAATAAGCATAAAACCTCAAAAAAGTGAAAAAAAAAAAATAAAATAAAATTGAATTATTTGTAACTTTTTGTGGACATGGTCGATTGGATCCTTTCGTAAAGTAAATTTGGAAAATTTCTACCTTCTAACTTGAGTTATTTCCAAGCAACGAGCAAAAAACCCAAAAATTTTTGTTAAAAAAAAACAGAGTTGCGTTCAGTTGACGCTCCACTGCGCTCGTCTGCTCTGACCATTTTGACCCATTTTCAACTTACCAATCAACTTACGTGTAAAAACTTCCAATGTTTCTATTAAATTTGAAGTCGACATCTTCATTTTTGCGATCACTGCGAGACTGTCAATAACACACACCACAAAGACGCATAGACGGACAGACATGACTAAATCAACTCAGAATTTCACGCTGATCAAAAATATGTTAATTTTATGGGGTCTCTGAAGCTTACTTTTGGGTGTATGGAAATGAAACAAAATGAGTATACACGCATCTTACAGTGGTGGGTATAAAAAATGGCTCTGTTTTGCTATTTAATTCAAATCTTGCGTATATACTAAGGGCAGGAAGAAGTATTTATCAATTGTTTGTGTTTATCCAGCTATGCAAAGCAAACAAGTAAACGGGCAAATACGTAACATTGGATGATGTGAATACGTTGCGTTGCTTAATTACCATTAATCACTTGCATATACGCATTCATATATATATGCATATAAATTATGTATATTTACCGATGTAATATTCAAAAAAAAAAATAAATATATATCGTCTTATTAATAAATTTAAAACTTGAAATCTTCATGATTTAAAACAAAAAAAAAAAGAAAAAAAGAAGAAGATATTATATTAATATTATATTTCTACGTAAGCTCGTACGAACGTGTAAAACCCTTAATCTGTTCCACATTTTGATGACCTGATCATGATTGCGATATTTAAAACTCTAAATGATTCCTTAAGCTCCTTTAAATAACTAGTGCCCTTAGATCGCTTATGGGATGCTACTATTAGCCAAAAAAAAATTTTCTTTTCTTTTTTTTATTTTTTTTTTATATATATATATACTATACCTGTACCCGTACATTGTAAGAGATGGCGTATTGGTCAAAATATTTTATCTCTTTTATAAATATGAAGTAAAACGCATCATCCTGATAGACTAAGGATAAGTGTGGACCAAGTAATATCGGAGATAGAAAATTAAATAGAAGATCGTCTACTTTACAACGACGACAAATAGAAGGGAATGCCGATCAAATATCAGAAATTGTATTAAATAGATTCATTCAAGGTTCGCTATACCCATAACGTGATGAACGAAGTGGGCGAAGGGAATGATAAATAGGAAGTGGGTGCAGTCTAGTATGTGTTTGCCCAGCCAATCGACAAATGTTATGTCTTTACGAGTATGTGCACTCACTATAGCTGCGATCAAGTATGCTCTACAGTACTGAGATTTGAATTCGCGATTATTTACCGTGTTGTCACGACCCTGGCGCACTAATCTAAAAATAAAGAA